CACCCACTAGGGACTCCATTCCAGAGACTTCATTGCCTCTCCAGCTTTCGAAGGCATGAATCATCTTTAGGAAGGGGAAAATCCACAAACAATTGCCACAGCATCTAATTAGATAGTGCTGTGCAAATTGAGCATTTCTACATGATTAACATGTCGGGAGAGTTAGCTAAGTCTCCAGTGGTTCAAGTGTCTCTTGTGTACCTAGTTGGAGATGTCCCTCCCGCTAATCCTATTCATTGTGCTTTGTGTCCTAATTAGAATATGTATGTGATAATTAGAATATGTATGTGATAATTAGAATATATATGTTCTAATAAGACTGGAGCTCTGGAGGTGAGCTGGCTTTGATAGTGTAATTAGCTCAAGAGGCACATGGTCCTTGGACCCTGCCCTCCTTCCAGGAAAGACTTGCTGGCATTCTTTTGTCATCAGAAGCTCCATTTGATCTCTCAGTCATGAAGGTATCTGCTAAGGCAGCCATCACTACCTGGAATTTCTTCCTCACAGAAGTGGTAGAGAGCTGTGAATCAGACTAATTGTTTTATGGTCCTGCTGTTTTTTGGGATTCTCATTCCCTGTCCACAGAGAAAAAGATCCCAGGCCAGGTGGCAAATACAGCTTTGTACCACTCATGACTCTGCAAATTGAGGTAGAAGCCCCTGCAATCAGTGGCACAGCCACACAGGAAATCCTGGGTGGACCTTCCCCACAGAAAGCAAGCTCCTCCTAGGTCTGCCGGGGGTGGGAGCACACCAGGATGGGAGCTCTATGAACCACAGGGATCCATGCCTGCAGGTGTGCAGAATACCAGGTCCTGGCTGTTTCCATCCGTGGCCAAGACGCCAGCCTGGAACCTCTTGTGGCCAATTAGCGCCTCCCATCTGCCTTGGAACTGGGTTCTACAACAACCAGACAGCGGAGGTCTGGGAGGGGTTCCTGTCTGCAGAACCTGGATGGAGTGGGCCATCTCCAGGCACAAGGGCAAGAAGGAAGACATGGTATACACTCTCAGCCTGGGGACTTGGAGGAGAGAGAAGGAGTCACAGCCTGAAGTCAATGGTCTGAGTTCACGCAGCATCTTAGGAGCCAAATGGTGGCCCCAGAACCTTCTACCCACATGCAAGCTCCAGAACCTGTGCTTGTGACCTTGTTTGGAAAAAGGGTCTTTGCAACTGTGATTAAGGTAAAGATGTCCTTATAAGAGACAGAGAGAGAGGCCTGAGCAGCCACAGCGGACACCCACATGGTCACAGTCCTCAGGGACAAACTAGCCCTAAACTCCTCAGGGAACCCAAGTCACCCAGGCTCACAGTCCTACCCCACATCTGAGAACTGGACCAACTACTGCTGGACACAGACAGCTTCTCCCCATGTCCAGTGGGTACCTGAGACTGGAAGGCCCCCAGGTAGATGAATGCCGGATGGATGTTCCATTACTACTGCAGAAAGGAGTCCCTTGCAATCTGCTACTTTACGGAATATTTTAACTTCTCCATGAAAAACAGTTTTCAGAAGAAAGAGACAGAGGCCTGGGCTCAAGATATGGCCAGGACACAGCCAATCACAGGGCTTGGAGGCCCTGGTGGGACCGGTTTCCATGGAGAATCAGGGAAGGACCCTGAGTAGACAAGGACATGGAGATGGGAAGTGGACTTCTGGGTTTCTCTGAGTCTCCCCAGACAAAGGCTTCTACCCTGTGCCTGAATCCTCCCAGCCACTGCTGAGAGCTGGGAGGAGACTGGAATCCTGGGCTGGAGCCAGGCGTCGTGGGAAGACAGAAGTAGGACCTGGGGCATAAGTAATGTCAGTACCCCTCAGCCAGTGCAGCCCAGACTCCCGGATGACCAGGGCAGTGGGCTGGTGGCCCATCACACCCTCCACACTGCAGCCCCTCCTCCCCCCAACTTGCGGCCGGCAAACACCCGGAGTGGTCTCCAGACTTGGCCAGCAGACTCCCTTTCACAAGGCAGGACATGGCCACGTGGGGTAGTAGGGGCCCCAGCTCCCATGAGTGACTCAGGGCCCTTGATGCTACCTCCAGTGTCCACCCTGGGGCCACTCATCCCCTCCGACATCCTCCTGGTGTGTGTCCCGCCCACCCCCTTCCAAAAGCAGAGCAGGGGCGCCCCCTAGTGGCAGCCGGCAGCTACGGGATCTGAGTGCTCACTGCCCTCGGAGCAGGGAGATGGGGACAGGAAGTGGAGATGGAGTAGAGCAGTGAGATTGGGGGCTCGAGGGATTTGGAGAAGCGACCACGTGGGCCCCGTGACTACACAGCAGTAGTTTCTCACGGACGCTTCCTTCTTCTCCGGCGTCAAACCCACGCGGAGTGCTGGGCCGTGAGCGCCAGGCTCTGCCTCCGCCCGGCTCTCCAGCTGGGATCCATCCTGTGAGAAGCTTGCAGGCTGGTTGGAGATGTCCACAGGTGACCTTGATAAGCACAAGAATTTACATTTGGGGTCCGTTTCTATTTTTGGTGGCACATCGGTCCATGCATACTCAGTGACTTGAAGTGTTTATTGAAGTAAGAAAGGCGCCTCCGTGAGGAATCACGAGAGACAGGCAGAAGGGGTGACAGTCACAAGGCCTCACCCAGATTTCCTGGGGGTGGACACTAGGCCCAGGACCCTGATGGGGCCCCTAAGGGGGGCAGGGGACATGAGCTCTGGGGACAGGGGGAGGCTTTGGGGATCATGTGATCAGCCCTTCCAAGACAGGGATTTGTAGGGGTGGGAGGGTCAAGAGATGATGTCTCAGCCAAAAGAAAGACAGACACCAGCTCCCATTGGGTTAGACATAACGTGGGGTGAGGCGCTGGTTTGTACCACAGACAATACACGTTTCAGCGTGAGGGCCAGCTGGATCCCGCGCTCTTTGGGGGCATTAGGACCCGTGCCTCCTTCCCCATCACCCCCTGACTGAATCCCAGTTCAGCAGCCCCAGAAGCCCCTATCTCTCAGGAGGTCCTACTGTCCCAGCGGTCCAGGGCCATGCCCGCTCCTGATTGGCCGATCCTGTACCATGTGACTGCCTCTGCAGCCTCACCCAACCACTTGGGTCAAAGCCTCAGTGACACAAAGGGCAGGTTCAGGTGTGGACTCCGCCCTGCTCCCCACCCCCCATACCAGTCTCCCAGCCCCTCTCCACAGCCCTCCTGGATTCTGGGAGCCTGGTCCTCCTCACTCCCAACCCTGCAAGGAACTGATGACCACACTCCAGCTTCCCTCTGCTTGAAGGAGACCCGGGGGGTGCATCCAAGAGAGGGTTGTCACCCCATCCCAGAAAGCCACCAGACTGCATCCTCCCCTCACCCAACCTGTGCTGACCCCAGGCAGCAGGACAGCACTGGGCTGTCTTCAGGGCTTTGGGGAGACCCCCACACCCAGTTCTGCCCACACCTTCCCCGTCACCTGCAGCATCAGTCCTAGGGGTCCCTAACTCCCAGCATTCTGTGATGTCACCAACATGCCTGTCCTGTAGGCAGCTGGCTAGTGCTCACGGTGTGGATGGGGGATGTTTTCTCTACTCTCCTAGGTCCTGTAGCAATGGCAGCCTAAGCAGTGTGTAAATGAGCAGGAGGGGCTGTGTGCCAATAAAACTTTATTTACAAAGCTACAAAGAAAGCAGCTTTGGGCCCTGGGCTGTAGTTTGCTGAGCCTCTGTAGATGCCCTTGGGTGCTGTGCCTCCCAGCGCGGCCACACAGTACCTTGTGAACACCTTACTCAGGGTCCTCTATGTTCTGGCTTGTGTTTCCTTATCACGCTTTGGCAACACCCAGCCAAACGTCCCAGAGTTCCCACAAAGACAAGCATCCCAGCTGTGTTATGAGCATCAGGGGCTGTGAACGTAACCAGAGAACAGGAGGCATTATCTAGAAGAGAAGGAACAGCTTCAGCAAGGCCCTTGGGTGGGTGTGTGGCAAGGCTGGGATCTAGGAGGAGGGTGCAAGGGGCCATGACCTCTTCAAGGGCTGGAGAGGTGGGCAGCAGCCAGACCACTCAGAGCCTCCTGGACCAGGTTAGGATGTGTCTGTTGGCTTCTGCTGCATTGCAAAACATACCCAAACTTAGAAAACTAAAGTAACCACTATACATCTAAGCTTCAGCTCTGCAGATGGGCTGTGTTCAACTGTCGTGAGCAGACAGCTTGCCTGGGGGGTGGAGAGATGGACGAATGGGAGGGCAATGGAGGCACGAGTCCATGCAAGATTGTTGTTCGGTGCTGTTAAGTCTATTCTGACCCATAGTGCTTCCGTGGATAAAATAAAACTGCCCCTAGGGTTTTCTAGTTCGGCATCTTTACAGAAGAGCCTCTGTGTGGGTTTGAACCACTGACTTTTCAGTTAGTAGCCAAGAGTTTAGCCATTGCACCACCAGGGCCCCTTAATGGAGGGGTGGAGGGAGAAAGTTGGGTGACCCTTCGGCTGCCTGTTTCTGCACCATGCACATGTTTCCTCGGGTGTTGGTGAAAGAACCGGTCATTCCTTGGCCTCTCAGAGCGTGCCTTGGGCCTAAGCTGTTGGCCACTTGGAAGGCATTTCCACATTCTCTTCTGCCTTAGTCCTCAGTCCCTCCACCCCACCCATAGTGGTGCCAACAGAAGGCGGTCTGCGGTCCTCACTAACCACCACCACCTGCTCAGAATAGGGATGGAAGTGGCCACTGAAGGGCAGGGACTTGAGGACTCTCCGTGCCGGTTACCTCTCAGTTTAAAGCTCACACCTGCACCTGCGTGCCAGCTCAGCCCATCCTCTGCAGCCTCTCCATCCCTGGTTCTCTAAGCCTCCAGATCCTTCTATGTTTATCAACACCTTTCAGAGCCACTGAGACAAAACCCTGCCCAACAGTCTGCCCCACCGGCACATGCACAGGTGCCCTTGAGCCCGGCACACAGCCTTGGCACAGGTGGAGGCCAGCCGCCATGGGCCACCTCCACCCAGGAATCACGTCTGACAGCCATAGTGAAACCCACACTGACCTCTGTTTTCCCTCCCTTGTAGAAAGTTCAGCAGTACACGGTCATCGTACAGGCCACAGACATGGAAGGGAACCTCAACTACGGCCTCTCCAACACAGCTACGGCCATCATCACCGTGACAGACGTGAATGACAACCCGCCCGAGTTCACCACCAGCACGGTGAGTGTGCGCCACCCGGCACTGGACGCTCGGTTCTCAGCCACTCTGTCTGAGAGAAGGGGCTGTCAGGGCGGAGACCCAGGCAGCGGGCTGGCTGCGATCGGGCAGCCCCGAATGCTCGTCCTGAACGATGGCACAGGTGTGGCGACGCTGGAGGATGTAGGCTGCGGTGGCAGATGTGTGGGGTGTGAGGATGTGAGGGGAGGGTACCTGGTGCAGTCTGGGCAGAATACTTTCCTACACAGCCCAGTTTGGCCACAACAGGGAGGGGACGGCAGCGTCAGGGCATTCTCTCCCATACAGACACCCCGGGCTCATGGAGGCCTTGGATGAGCCTCCTCCCCCACTTCCAGTGGACTTGTCCATAACAGTAACCCCATTAGCAGCAATCATACCTGAGGACCCTCAGGGGTCTGTAACCCACATCCTTCAGTGGGTCAGGGCTGAGGTGCCCAACAAGAGTGGGCTGGGACTCAGAGGGGTCCAACCACTTGCCTCGAAGAGCCAACAGGCCGTGTCGTCAGAAAGCCAGCAACAGCCAAGGAGGTCAGGGGCTAGACTGGTGGATCAGAGGATGACCATGTCTTCTCACAGAGCAGACCTTGGGGACCCCAGTGGGAGGGCTGCTTGCCCTGAGGCACCTCACAGACCAGCGCCCCTCAACAAGGCCCCTCCTGGTATCTTTGGGTCCCACTCTGGACCCAGGAGAAGCTACCATACCCACCTGGGCCACTAGGGCACAGCGACACCTAGTGGGGATCCAGGGTGGTAGCATAGAGTGGCCGGCACAGGCCCTGCTGAGGGGTAGTGGGGAAGCGGGAGTCTCCTGCTTCCTGCTTTCTCCATCCACACCCCAATATGTCTTCCTTCCCCTCCAGACTGGACCAGCGTCCTGCCCCTCCCAGTCCTCTGTGCCTGGTCGTTTCCCTGCCCTGGCCTGGGGGCTGCTCAGTGACCCCATAGAATAATGTCTCCCATCAAACACCCACTGAGCAGTGCATCCTGGGACTGCCTGAGGAAGCAGGGGAGGTGTGGAGAGCATTCCCAGCTGTGTGAAGCCGGGATTCTGCTACTGCTGTCTTTACAAGGCCATTATCCTAGGGTGAGAAGTACCCAGCCCAGCCGGTGTTCTTGTCCCCTGAGGCCTCCTGAAAATGGGCCACCCAAGTTACATTGGACTTCGGGCAGAATTTGCATTTGAACCAAAACAAATGGCTGGCCATGTTCCTGGTGGAACCTCTGGCTGCCGACCCCACAAAGATCCCGTAGAGACAGCGTGGATCCATGGGATGCTGGAGAATGGGAAAGGAGCAGGGGCTCACCCTATATCTCAGTAACTGAGACCCTCACCTCTAGGCCTGATCCCCCCTCCCAAGATACTGCAGGACCCCTGCCCACCTGCTCCCACAAACAAGGCACATGCGTTCAGTCCCTCAACCCTGTACCCTCCGGGTCGGCTGACGAGGGGCAGAGGGGTCTTCCAGAGACCCTACCAGGCTTCTGAGGGGCAGGGCAGCCCATGCTGCCTCTGTGTGTCCAGGAGACTCAGGAATGAGAAGGTCTTGGCAGGTGTGTCCCCGTCACTCAGACAGTACCTTATAGTCCAGTGTCTGCCAGGAGAGGGTATGGAAGACACTCCTTACAGCCGGGCCTGGAAGATAAGGACCACAGCACCCGGGTCCCTAACACCCAAACTCCCTGCCCATGCAAACTGTTAACAAGTTCAGTTGCTGACTGAAAGCCTCGAGGTAGGAGTCCAACCAGAGGCAGAAGAAAGCCCTGGAAAGTCAGCCCCTGAAAGCTCTGCAGAAAGCAGTCTCCGGAGTCAGGGTGGACTCAGCAACAGCCGGTCTGTTGTTCTTTCTTTCCCTTACACCCAGGTCAGGGTGGTCCCTGGTGGAGCCACCCCCACCCCACCCCCACCCCCAGGGACAGCAGCGGGGTGCAGGCCACAGTCTAATCAGCTTGCTGGGGTAGGTGGGGCGGGTGCCGGCACAGCGAGGCTATTTTTATCGGCTTTAATCAAGGACAATCAGACGAGATGAGGGGGGGGGGAGGGGGGGATGATCCAACTCCTATTGTTATGTGTTAACTAAAAGTTATTTCCCTTAGCCAACTCTGTGTACACGGTTTGGAGCCAGCGGGGATCTGGGCTCTCTCTCCTGCAAGGTAGCTTGGAATCTGCTGGACTCAGGGTTCAGGGCCCTAGGACCTTTTGCTTACCATGTCTCATGGGCCTGGAGTGGACTTCTCGACAGACCCAACTCCCTCCCTGCACCCCTCACCTTCACACAGGCCCTGGCCTCTCTCAGTCCCCCTAGCTGTGTGGTTTGGGTTTAGGAACCAGACCCTCTGAGCAAGGCCGCTGTGCCGTTGTACTTTTGTAGTTCTTGTGCCCCCCTGCCCCCCACTGTCAGGAGCACCCACGAATCCACAAGAGTGTGGATTATGTAAGCCTGTTTTCACCCAGGCAGCTCTGACTCAGGGTGACCCCACCTGCAGTGGGGCGAACGGGCTTTGGGACTCACGGGACCTGGGGTCCTGTTCTGTCCCAGTGGGGCCCACAGCAGCACCCCCAAATGTCCTCAGCTGTTAGAATGGGAGTGAGTTGTGGTGCTTTGAAGGCGGATGAGCCGCCATCGCTGATGTCACTGCTGTATTCAGCCCTGGTGGTGTGATGGCTAGAGTGCTCGACTGCCAACCACAGCTGCCCTGAGGGAGAAACACGTGACCATCTGCTTCCAGAACGACCACAGCCTGTCCTGGGGTCAGGAGCATCAGGATGGGCTGCACGGCACTGGGTGTGGGAGGCCTTTGCTCTCGTCAGTGTTGTAAGTTTTGCCTGGGACAGGGGTTGCTGATCAGAACCCAGGGTCTTCAGGCACTCATTGAAAGATCTGCTCCAAGAGGACCAGGGGACAAGACATTTTGGGGAGCCATGGTCCTGGCCTGGTGGATCAGCAGCCTCAGCTTCGGTGTTTGATGGATAATGGGTCAGTCTCAGTACCTTCTTGGGGCACTGGGCCAGCTCAGGAGCTTCCCCTACCCTGCCCCTCCATTGGTCTAGCCCTGTGGCTTTCTCATCACCTTGGCTTTTCAATTGCATCCCTGAGCCCCAGACTAGGAGAGATTGCCCTTCAGCTTGAGTTTCTGAGACTAAGAACTTGGCCTCTGAAAATTGGAGTGGATTCTGTGCCCTTAATTATGCCCGGGCACTCCGTGCAAGCCTCGGCCTTCAATAATTAATTGGAGACGGCTGTTCCAAGAGCCAGGTGGCTACAGGGGTCCCCCAGTTGGCATCACATCCCACCTGCCCCCAGTCCTGTGTCCATGTGTCCAGGGGCAGCCATGCTGGGTGCAAGAGGAGTGGATGCAGGTCCCTCCTCCAGGAGCTCACAGCTGCAGGGGGAGGGAAGCAGATGACAACCACAACACTAGGGACACTCAACAGTGTGTGCCCAGCACCTGGCAGGGGACCTGGGGGGGACCAGCTCCTGTCCCCAATGCCAGGGTCCCTGGCTGAGGGCTAACCACCCCTTTCTCCACTGGTTGTTTCCTTGAGCTCCTGAGCCCTGCCCTGTCACCCAGGGCCATCTGTGGGGGTGAGAGGACTCACTGTATCACTAACACCTCTGAGGTCAACCTGTGGAAGTGAGTGGCTTCAAAGCCTGTCTGGAGAGGGTGTGAACCTGAAATCTCGGGGGGTGGGAGGTCAGGTCTGTGTCTGGGCTGAATGCTTGGCCCTCCCCCGTGTGTGGACTTTGTTGGTACTGGGTCCTGTCCCCGTGCCAGCCCCTCCACAATCCAGAAGCACTACAAGGCCAACCATGACTCCCCACTGGCCTGTCTCCTGGGCTGTAAAACGGGAGTGGAGGTTCTGATGTGGAAGCGAACAGAAAACAGCATCATCTCACCGGATTCCATTCCCGTTTGTCATGGGGTCGATTCTGACTCATAAGGACCCTACACGGCAGAGTGGGACTGCCCCATAGGGTTTCCAAGGTTGTCACCAGTTCCTAAAGAAGGAGGTCATGCCTGGTGAAGTAGAGGGTCATGGGAGAAAAGGAAGTCCCTCCACGAGATGGATTAGCACGGCGGCTACCACAAACACAGCAATGGTGGTGAGGGTGGTACAGGACCGGGCAGTGTTCCGTCCAGGGGTCGTAATGAATCAGGTGCCACTCAGTGACAACAGCAGTTTCTAGAGAAGCAGACGCTACATCTTTCTCCTGCAGAGTGACTGGTGGGTTCGAACCACAGCAGACCTCTCAACCAGGCCCTTAACCAGTGCCCACACCAGACCTCCTTGTTTTACTAGATAGGAAACTCAATTTAAAAGCATCGCAATGATCAAAGTAGACCCTCTGGTAAATCCTTCACAAACACAGACTCCAGCGGATGGTATTGTTCTCTGAGGACCAAGGGGATACTCCCTGGCCCATCCTGGCCAGACCCCGGCTGCTCCCAACGCTGGGCTAACTACCATGAGGGACCCTCCGTTCCCACTTGCTTCCCTCCCAGTGAGGTGACGCGACAACCCAGGCTGCAGGGTACCGGCATGGAGGGGGAGGCAGCCCCCACTGTGGAATCATGGGGACCTTCACAGTCTGTTTAGGAGTGGGGGACTCTGAGCAGCTTCGCGAAGACAGGACAGAAACTCTTTGGTGGAGGGCTCAGAGTTCCAGTGAAGTGGGCCATTAAGCCTCCCTAAAGCCAGAGCCAGACCCTGGGTGATACAGCTCATCAGTGCCGAAGTCAACCTTGGTTTATAATGTTCCAAGTCCCAGGTATTAATTAATTACAAGTCACAACATCACAATCCCCAGGACACCATAGCTGTGAGAAGAGCTGGAGAGCTTGCTGCCTGGTTCAGGGGCACCAATCAATAAACAAAGGAGCTTGGGGCTTGGCTCAAAAGAAGTGGGGTCCCTCTCCCTCCCCAAACCTGGCACTCAGGCTCGGGCCTGCCCACAGCCCCAGAGGCAGCAGCCTGGCTCACCCTGGGGTCCATGTGGGGTCCCCACCACAATGGGCAGCCCCAGGAATCCCACATTCTGACCACCATCCAACATCCTTCCAGACCAGGCTTCCTGTTGGATTGTGGCCCCATGCCATCCAGCATGTGCACCCCACCTCCCACTCCCAAACCCCTCCTGTGCGTGTCCCAGTGTGCTCCCACTTTGCTGAGGTCTTAATCTAAGGGTGGGCACACTGTGTTGGTAAATACGCATATTTTCAACTTGAGGGGCCTTAGTGTGGTCTCTGAAACCATCCAACTCTGCCCTTGTAACTAAAGCAGCCGGTACATGGTAGTATGTGGCCATGTCCTAATGAAAGTTCATTCACAAAAAGAGATGCCTGATCCAATTTGGCCCACAGACCATCGTCTATGGACCTCGGCTTTCGTCTTTGCATTGTCCCTGGGAAAATATGTCTCCTTATTCCTGATGACGAATCGGGCTGCTAATCTCAAGGTCAGCAGTTCGAAACTACCAGCTGTTCCGCGGGAGAAAGATGAGGCTTTCTGCTCCCATAAAGATTTACAGCCTTGGAAACCCTGTGCAGGGTCGCTATGAGTCGGAACCGACTCCACGGCACATAATCACCACCATTCCCTTCAGGGGCATCTGAGAAACCATGGCTGGGTCTGCCTCCAAAAAGGGGCCTGTGGTCTGGCCAGGAGGGCATGGCCCCAAATGGGGGGAGTCCAGGCCGGCCTTGCACTTCAGAGCATTTGGGACAGGAGGGTTAGCAGAACTGTGCTTCTCCTCAGGGCACATCCGCAGCCTTGTTGGACCTGTGCTAACCAGCTGCCAGGGTGTGTAAGATAAAATAACTGAGTGAGTGTCACCTGAATTCTGCTGCACATTCACACCCAAATCCTACCCTCTGAGAATGTTACTCCCTCAGGAACCCCACATTTCTTCCGTGGAGCCCACAGATTGTGCTTGGAGGCCCAGGTACCCTGCCTCACGGGAAGGGGTAGATTTGAATTCTGGATTATGGCTGAGACAAGAAATTCCATTCTCATGCTCTCAAAATTCTTCCTCACCCAAATATCTGCTTTGGCATCCACCAGGGCATGAGGAAGGTTTTCCTGTGCCCAAAAGACAGAAAAATTAAATTTTAAATACATTATGCTTGGGGGCAGGTTAATAAGGAAATCCTAAAACAGATTTATCAGTTTAAGGCCCTTCTTTGTGAACCTTTGTTGAACTTGCACGAATTAAAATCGACTTCAGTATAAACTTCACACAGAGTCTGGAAGGAGTTGGTGCAGGCCCGTGACCTTCCCTCTACCTGACGCTGGGAGGCTGGGATGGTGGAATGGGAGAGGCCACACAAATCCAGGGCCCGGCTGAACCTGGCTCCGAAGGACCATCCAAAACCTTGTTTCTCAGAACAGGGGTCAGACATAGGGGTGCTCCACTCTCCTTCCCCACACTGGGCACAAGGCTGCCACTCCCTCCCCAACACAGCTGACACCTGAGGCCTGCCTGACACACACACCCTGGAACCTCTCACCTCCTTCCGAATCAAAGTCCGGAGGGTTTGTCGAACAGTACACGACCACAGTTTAGCGGAGGCCAAGAAATGAGTTTCTGACTTCCACCATAGATGGAGGAGAAAGAAAAGGACTTCAGAAGGAATCGGAGAGCCAGGGGCCTAGCCACTGTCCATACCACTGACCTGCAACATAAATAAAAGGGGGACCCCTCATCCCACAGAAGCTGAAAAGTCCAAGAGAGTGGATTTCAGGCATAGCTGGATTCAGGCTCTTACTATCTCACCAGGACCCTCCCCCCTGAACTGGTGCATTCTTAGACTCTGTATGGCAGGCCGCCCCCCACCCACAACACCTTCAGACTCATGTCCTAACTACTCAGGCTGATTGGCTGATGCCAGTCATGTGCCTATTCCTGAATTAACTGTTGAGGGACAGGGGTCAAGAGCAGGGGGTGGCAATCTTTTTCTGTAAAAGCCTAGCTGACAAACATTTCCCTCTTTGGAGGTCATGTGGCGTCGGTCACAGACTCAACTCATCACCAGCACGTAAGCGAAAGGGTGTGGCCATGTGCCAATGAAGCTTCATTCACAGAAACACATAGAAGGGTCCATGGGGGCTCACCCTGAGCTGAGAGTCAGGTCTGGAGGCAGAGGGGGGAATGTGGGCGGTGGCCAGCTCCTGCCAAGTGCCCACAGCTGGTGCACCACTGCTCCCTGGTGTTGAGAGTCAAGTCTAGAAGCTGAGGCCAGGGCTGCTGAGCTGAGCTGTCCATGGTGTGACATGTAAACCCACACAGCACAGGGCAGCAGGGAGTGGTGGCAGCCAGGGTCTCCTGAGGCCTATGCTGTTGCCCCTCATCTCCAACTCTTGACTGAGGGGGATGCAGGGTTGGAGCAGGACTGCCATGGACAAATACTTGTCCCCAGGATAACTCCTGCCTTTTCCTTGAAACGGATCTGGGGGTCATAACTCTGGGAGTGGCTTGTCCAGCACCCCATCAGCACTGTGTGGCCTGGAGCTAGGCTGAGCCCTTGAGACTTGACCCATAGGACTGAGCATGCTGAGTCTCCTCTCTCTGTGGCATTTTGAAGTCTCTTAACCGCTCTGGCTTCTAGTTCTGGGTAAGAGCAGGATTATTCTGACAAAACAGCAGCACTCAGCAGTCACCATGGGGCTGTGCTACTGCTGTGAATACAACCGGAAATCCCCGGACACTTGTCCAAGCCGTGCCTGCCTGTGTGTGTGCTTGTTTTGTTTGGGGCCCAAACAAAACAGAACTGACTTGCAGGGTCTGGTCCCCAATGAGAATGTGCGCCCTTGTTCAAAACTTACTAAGAACTTCAGGTTGGTGACAGCAGAGCCCTCTGATCTTGGGGACACTGTCCTGCCGCCCAGATACCACATTGATGGAAGCAGCCCTGCACAGTGATTCTCAGCTGGCAGGAGGTGCCCAGCTTTCTGTCATATCTGTCACTGCCACCATGAACCATGGGTACCGATGACTGTGGGTATAGCCCTCCCGGTGCTGTGGCAGGAAAGGGGCTGAGCCCAGCAGTTGGCCATGTAGCAGGGACCAGCAGGAAGGCAGGAGCCCAGGAATGGCCAACCCTGCTCAGGGAGCCTTCTGTAGCTTCACTCCGGTGCTGCTCACTGCCATGTTGCAAGTTCAAGTCTCGTAGTCTGTCCATTCAGCAAACATTTCCTGGATGGCCTGGGGTATCCAGCATTCTCCTGCTTCAGCACTTGCTCAGGGGCTACACATAGAAAAGGTTTGAAAAGGAGGGAGGCCTGGTATATGTAAGCATGTGTGTGTGTGTATGTGAGTGTGTGAGTGTGTGAGTGTATGTGTACATGTGTGTGAGAGAGTGAGTGTTTGTGTGAGTGTATATGTGTGTGTGTGTGAGTGAGTGAGTGTGTGTTACTTGGTTTGGAGGTGGCTGTGTGCTGGGCCGGCCAACCTGAGCAGCTGTGACCAGGACCATCTGAAGGCAGAAGACAGCTCCCAGATGCTGACGGAGGGGCTCTGCATGCCTCTCCAGCCCCCTAGGTTTTATTTATTGTGTTGTTGTTGAGAACATGCACCAATTCTGCACTCCCCTCATGGACAGTTCCATGATGACGTTGATGACATTCTTGGACGCCTACAGCCATTCTCACTTCCTTCTCTGAGCTGCTCCCCACTTGTGAACATAAACTCACTGCCCACGAAGCTTCCTATCAGATCTTTCCAGTTTATGATCCCATATAGAAAGTTCTTGGGAGCCTTGGTGGTATAGTGGGTTACACATTGGGCTGTTTACCACAGGATCAGCAGTTCAAATTCACCAGTCACTCCTTGGGAGAACAGTGAGGTTTTCTACTCCCACAGAGATTTGCAGCCTCGGAAACCCTACACAGGGTCACTATGAGTTGGAACCAACCTGAAGGCACACAGTAACAATAGATAGATCTGAAAAGAGCACACTGCTCATGGTAGACCTTCTTTACTAGTGAGCTGGACTATTGTTTGGTTTTAAGAGAACTTCAAGGGGTGTTTTTTCATTTAAGGTTTAAAGATTCTATCAGGGCACTATTTTAGGGGGTTCCTCCACCTTCCATGACTCCAGAAAGTCTGGAGTCTGTGAGACGCTGAAATCCTAGTCTGCATTTTCCCCCTTCTTGATCAGGATTCTACTGTGGAAACTTTGAGCAAAATGTTCAATAATGGCAGCCGGCACCACCCAGTTCTGGTCTCAGGGCAGAGGAGGTGTTTGTTCATGGAAGCGGTCAGTCACACAGCCCACTTCCTCGTCTTACTGCTGCCCTTCCGTCTTCCTCTGTGGCTCCAGGTGACTAGAGACCAGCTGTGCACTAGGTAGGTGGTGGCTGGCAAGCTTTGAAGACCCAAAGGACATGAGTTCTTAACATTCTGTTTTCTTACCTCTTGAAGTATGCAGGGGAAGTTCTTGAAAACCAGGTGGAGACAGTGGTCGCCAACCTCACCGTGATGGATCGAGACCAGCCCCACACACCAAACTGGAATGCTGTCTACCGTATCATCAGTGGGGATCCCTCTGGGCACTTCAGCATCCGCACTGACCCCGTCACCAATGAAGGCATGGTCACGGTGGTGAAGGTGGGTACCGGGCAGCCCGAGCCCTAGACAAACTCAACAGAAACAATATTCAGTGGAAAGTGCATGCCACCCTCATGGGCAAGGGCACATGGGACGTGGAGGCTAGACAGTCTTCTCCACAGGGTCCTTGTGATGTGAGCTCTGGGCTGCAGGAAGTAACTCTTCTAATGTTAGAATGAAGAAACCTTCTAATGTTCAGCTATCCTTGCCTTCCTGAGATACATACAACTTAGTCCTGAAGTCAGTAAAAGTGTGAAGGCCAGAACCTCTGTAAGGCAGAAACCTTCAGAGAAGGAAGAGGCAAATATTTCCCACCAAAACCAGTCATAAAAAAGTGTTAAGACTGTATCTTGTCAAAGGCGGAAACAGGTCACCCAGTAAAACAAGGCAGTCTCAGCAAGTTCCGGCTTACACAGGTTTCACTAGAGTATTTTTTTAATACGTTGCAGGATTTGTTTTGCTAATACCTGATGTTTTTCTGAGGAATTTAGGCCTATATTTTTACTTTCTCATATTGTTCTGATCTGGGTTTGGGGATCAAGTTATAGACAAATCTGGAGAAATCTTCAGGGAGCATTTCCTCTTCATCTACCATGAGACGGGTCGTGTAACCTGCAGTGGTCGGGGGGACTTGATGGTAAGCCGTTTGGCTTTGCTTTTTGTTCTTGGGTAGGATAGATTGGTAAGTATTGATTCAATGTCTTTAATGGTTTTAGGCAGTTAGAGTTTTCTGGAAAATTACCATCTTCATCTAAACTTTCAAATTCATTTACTGTAATCCAATCTTCTAATGCCATCTCAAGATCCTTAATTTGCTCACCTCTGCGAGTGCCTTTGCCTGTCATGTACCATTCACAGACGCCAAGGAGTCGAACCTGGGCCTCTGGGGACACACTGTTCAACCTACCACAGTCACCCATTTTGTAAAATGACTTCTTGCTTTTTATTTTCTCAGTATGAAGAAGGCATGGACATTTTTATATTGGACCTGTTTTCAGCAGTTGTGACCCCTATTGCTTCTGATGCTTGGGTTGACCCACGTTAGCCTGTGGGAGCCTCATCCTGTTTCCTGTCTACTGTTTTGAGCATTTCCTTGCTTTCGGGTCCTACAAGACTCCATCATTCATTTCTTGCCTCAGATAAAAATCAGCCATTTCTCAGTGGTTGTTCCAGACCAAAATCTGGGCCCACAAGTGCCTGGTGCCTGCACCCCCCTTCTCCTCAGTATTTTCAGTGGGAAGAGCTAGGAAGCAGCATTCCAAACACGCATTTGTAAAGATCATGTCAAATGTATTTCACTGATTCAAATGGTTTATAGATTCAAAGTTAGCAATAGACGACGTGGGGAAGTGAGTTTCCTTATGTGGCCTTTTGCTTTGATAATTTGGTAAAACAGTTTAAGGGGGTCCCCCTAAGGTCTGAGAAGTGACCTTTGCCCTAAGGTTTGTGACTTTTGTCCAGGTTGATTTGATATTTCCTAGGCAAACTCTGAACTTACAGTCGGATATTTTTTTGTCTGGCTCTGGGCTGCAGCCTGCCCGGTTATTGATAGGCACCTTGCAGCAATTGGTCAATAGATTATGTAAACGAAGTGACTATAATGGACCATGCAAATGAGGTATCTGTGACCTACTGAGAGGAGATTGGTCAGTTTGAGGCCTCACTAGGACTGACAAGAAATTGTGTATATAGGCAGTCAACCCCACAGAAGTTTTTGAGACTGAAAAAAGCAGGAAGAGAAACATCAGGAAGAAACAGAAGACAAGAAGAGAGAAGAAAGAGAAAGGGGGAGGCCAGGAACCTCCTAAAAAACATGTGACATGGACCAGCAGCTGTAACACTGAAGAGAGCAAGAGGCCCAGGAGGAGGCCAGTGGCAGAGCTGGTGGCAGAAGGCCAAGGGGTGGCCTGCAGCAAAGTCAGTGGTGGCAGACAGCAGGCCAAGAGGAGCCCATCCTGAGGGGACCAAGAAGAACCTGTCCTCAGGTGGCTAAGAGGAGGCCTGCATAGTCAGGTGAGAGGCGTGGAGAGGTCTGGCCTGCACTGAAGAAAGGACTGTCGTATGATCTGTGAGTTCTGTGTGGTCATTGCAATGGATTCTCAAGCCCAGAAAAGAAGCAGAAAGCGCCGTGGAAAGGACAGCTGGTGGCAGGAGAGGTAAAAAGGTTGGAGGGTGGAGGAGATATGTCTGACCTCCACCTCTTGGGACTTCTTGGGAATCAGCCTTGGGCTGGTCCTGGTCATTATCCCCCTGAAGTTAGGCAGGTCCCGAGGACCCTATTACTGCTCACACTATTTTAAGAAGGTTTTTACTTAACCCCATTGATTTTATTATTGTATTTCATATCTCTTATACTGAAAACCTTAGTTTTAGCTGCTTCTCTACTTTATTCTATAATGTGCACACCAAGTTTCAGAATAACAAAACCAAAATTCCTACCGACAGCAAGAGAGCCAGCTAAGCTTAAGAGGCCTTTGCCTTTGTTGTTGTCTTTAGAATGTATTCTGTGTCGGATTATTTACCATCTGAATATTGTGCTCTGAAGTCACCAGAAATGAGAGTTTTCTTTGGGAGTTATGTTGCCAGTTGATACACGGTTCGTTTAGTTCGTCATCTGTTTGCGACTTTCAGATGTACTTTCTGTATAGAACTTCATGTTTAGTTCCTGCAATGTAAGATGTCACATGACTCTGAAAAGTTACTATGAGAAAACAGAGTTACATCACGCCTCCAGCTCCGCCCTGCACCCTGCTCCCTGCTTATGGCACCATCTTTATTCACTTGATTTATCTCCAAAATCCATATTCCTCACCTCCTTTTACACAAAACGCAGCAGACCTGGTATCTCAACTTCCGAGAGCTACCATGACAAAATGGGGGTGGAGGGGGAGGTTACACAACAAAGTGTATCTTCTCACAGATCTGGAAGCCAGAAGTCCACAATCGAGCTACCAGCAGAGGGGGTTGGTCCATTCTGGAGGCTTCTGCATTCTAGGCCTCTCTCTTGGATTCTGGTGGGTCTCCATTCAAGTCTCAGCATCTGTCTTCACACAACCTCTCCCCTACATCTGTATCTCACATCTCCTCTCCTGTCCTTGAATCCTAATCCAGGAAGATCTCACCTCAAGCTCTTGAACTTCATTCCATCTGCAAAGATCCTATGTCCCAGCAAAATCATACTCGCATGTTCCCGGAGGGACCGCCATTCATCCCCTAGACCTGGACATGCACCCCTTCCCCATCCTAGGCTTGAGGGAGCAGCGTGGGGGACCCAGCACTGCCCCGGTTCTGCCAGAGTCAGACAAGAGTTTGAGTCGAAGGAGGGGACAACTGAGGGACTCAGCTCCCCAAACCATGCCTGGGCCAGGGGCCTGGGGTCATTAATCTCAGCTTCTCTTCTCCCTCTGGACAAGCAGAGGTGACAGGGGGACTGGAAAATGTCACCAACCTCATAGGGTGCAAAGCAGAAGATGACGGGGGTGGAAATGAGCCACCCCACCCTCGCCCATCAATGGTGCCACCAGCTCACCTTAATGCTTCTTTCGCCCAGACGGTCGATTACGAGTTGAACAGAGCCTTCATGCTGACCGTGATGGTGGCTAACCAGGCACCACTGGCCAGCGGCATCCAGATGTCCTTCCAGTCCACGGCAGGGGTCACCATTTCTGTCATGGATGTCAATGAAGCACCCCACTTCCCATCCAATCACAAGCTGATTCGTCTGGAGGAAGGCGTGCCCACAGGCACTGTGCTGACCACCTTTTCCGCGGTGGACCCCGATCGCTTCATGCAACAGGCAATAAGGTGGGTCCACAGTGCCTACAGGCCCTCAAGGATCCCCAAGCTCAGGGAAACCTACAGGTCAGTCCCGGGGGTGGCCAGGTGTCCCCGACCAGAGTTGTCTTTCAGGACAGACAAGGAGCTAAGGCACCAAAGTCCTAGGGGGACCGGGATTGCCTGCCCACTCGAGTCATACAGCCAGCCCTTGAGACACGATGCTCAAAGTCACTGCTTCCAAACCTAGATGCAGGAAACTTTCAGAGCCCCGTCAGCAGTAGCCAGAGCCGGCTGGCCCTCACTCTCACTCACTCCACTTTCTGTGGCTGTTTTCCCATCTGTAGAATGGGGGTGCAGAGAGAGCCCTGGGAAGGACAAAGAGGCTGCTGTTGGGGCCTCTTTGTGGGGACAAGAGGTCCCAGCCCTGACAGGGGGACAGTAGACAGATCAGTTTTACTCAGTCTCAAGGGGCAGAGGAAGACCCCCTTCCCACAGTGTCAGGCTCCTCGACTTGTACAAGGATATGCCTGGGACGGCCTCCTCCCATGGGGGCCCGGAGGGGGTAGGACTGACATTGGGTGTTAGGGCACCAGGCTGGAGGAGTGGACCTCCCGGCAGCAAAGTCCACCTGAGCAGGACAGAGGCTCTGTGGAGGGGCAGAGCTGGTAGGACTGGGCTGCCCAGTGGGAGTCAGGAAAGTGGGCAGCATGGAGGGGCCTGGGAAGCTCTGTCCCCGCAGCACCACACCAGGCTGTGAGGGTCCTCAACCCCCTTTCTCCTCACAGATACTCGAAGCTGTCCGACCCAGCCAACTGGCTGCACATCAACTCCACCAACGGCCAGATCACCACGGCGGCCGTCCTGGATCGCGAATCTGTCTACATCAAAAACAACATCTATGAAGCTACCTTCCTGGCTGCTGACAATGGTGCGTCCGCTCGGGGACAGGGGTGCATGAGATGCATCGACCATCCATTCATCCGGGCCCCAGTCATCCGCTGTTGTAGAAGAACCATTCAGTGGGGACAGGAGGGTGGCCCCATCTGTCCTTGATCCTTGACCCAGGACCCCCTCTGTAACTTGAGGCAGCTGGGTCAAGATCCATGGTTTTCAAACTGATTTGAATCCTTCCTGGCCAAGAACCCCACACACCGACCACAGATCAGAGGGGCCAGCACTGCCCAACCCCCATACCGGGGGCTGCCCCTCAAGGCTCTGACCCACAATCAGAGCAAGGGGCAGGGGGATAGGTGAGGTGGAGTGGGGTGGGCTTACATCAGAACCTGGGCCTGTCTATAGGTGTAAGGCATAGGGAGTGGGTGGGGGAGATAGAAGGTCCCAGAGAGCTTGGCCCCGGAGACGTGAATGTGCATCCCTGGGAGCTAGGCTCTGGGAACCCACCCTTCTCTGCATGGGGTGTCCCAGAGCAAGGGATCCACAGCCCTCCACACACATTACTCCTAAGACCCCAGCCCGGCACACCCACCAGTCTCCACTGCAGAGGGACCGAAGGGAGACCCACACCATATACTGACTTGGCCTTGTGTGTCCCTGCCCTCCTACACAGCAGCTCTAGTACCCCCACATGGGGGCTGAGAAGTGAGTGAGGGTCTCGAGAGCCCTTACTACAGGGTGTGCTTGTTCTGACAGATGTGGCCACTGTTCCGAAACGCCTGCCCTCACAAAGCTGATATCCTTGCAACAGAACAAGTGTCCATTAGAACCAGACTCAGCTGCACTCTGAAAAGGCATAAAAGTAATTTCAACAAGATCAAGGTTTACTTTCTCCCATAAAAGGTAGCTGGAGACAGGCAGCCCAGGGTCAGAATTGAAAGCCCACACCCCCTCAGCAGCTGCTCCACTGTACTTGGTCCAAAGTGGCTGCTGGTGCTCCGGCTATCACAACCACATTCCGACAAAAAGAGAAAGGAGCAGGGAGGAGATGCACACACACCTGCCCTCCACAGACTTCCAGGAAGCTCTCAAATACTGCATCCTACCACAAGGAAGGCTGGGAAATGCAACCTTCCAACTGGGCAGCAATGGTACCAGCTAGATCTGGAGCACAGATTCTGTTAATAAGCACAAAGGGGAGGATGGGTACCAAGGCCAACCCAGAAAGACAGGTGAGAAACTGGATGATTTGGGGGACCACAGAGTGCTCTGAGGTACAGGAAGTAACAGCTAGTCTAGGAACCAGCCTGGGAGAAGGGGGCAGAAGTGGGGGGCTCTAGGTTAGGAACAGTCAGTGCCAAGACCCCGGGGCAGGGCTGTAACTGGTGACTCCAGCCACCGCCAGTCATGGATAAGGCTTTGAGAGCAAAGACAACGCTTACACGAAAGCTTCTTCTATAGCAGTGACGGCCGACAGTCCCTGGTCCCTCTGGCCATCTTCCCGGCAGCATCAGCTCCAGGAACTGATTAGGGAGAATGTTAAAGGCTCTCTCAATGGGAAAGCATGTGGACACCCACCTGTGGGTCCCTCCTGGTTTCAGGGGCATGCACATCACCATCAGTGGGTCTGGATATTTCTTGGTAGTTGTTGTCAAGTGCCGTAGAGTCTGTTCTCACTCATAGGGACCCTTTATAGGGTTTCCAAGAAGTGACTGGTGAGTTTGAACTGCCAACCTTGTGATTCAAACCCAACATGCTGTTGGGTTATCCGACAGTGTCACACTAGAGTTTAGAATTAACTTGCGGTCCAGTGCCAACCCGACAGCGCCACACTAGAGTTATTCTGTGGAGTCTATGTTTCACATGATCCGTGAGGCTGTTCTGCACCCTGGGGACCCTGCTGGGACAGGCTTAAGAAAAATGGCAGGGTGGTGACCTACTGCCCAGCGTCCTGAGTCCCTAGTTGGGCAGGCCCGAGTTAGGGGGCTGTGGTCCTGGGAAGGGGGTGTGTGCAGTCGAGGGACTGGAGTAACAGGTGTAGTTGTGACTGAGTGTCCCTACATGTTAGGTGTCTGTGTCTGCATGTCTGTCCCATGTGTGGTGGTGTGACCATCGGTGTGTCCCTGTGTGTGTTCAGAGCAGTTGTCCGTGTATCTGTCCCGTGCGGTACACCCACAGTTCCATGTCCACGTCTGTCCACAGGGATCCCCCCAGCCAGCGGCACCGGAACTCTGCAGACATACCTCATCGACATCAACGACAATGCCCCCGAGCTGCTGCCCAAGGAGGCCCAGATCTGTGAGCGGCCAGGCCACAACGCCATCAACATCACAGCAGCCGACGCGGACATCGACCCCAACATCGGCCCTTACGTCTTTGAGTTGCCCTTCATGCCAACTGCCGTGCGGAAGAACTGGACCATCACCCGCCTGAACGGTGAGCTGAGCCCAGGGGTAGGTCAGGCTGGGCAGAGCTGGGAACCCGTGTCAGGTCTCTTCTGCCTCACTGCATTCGTGCTGTCCTCTGTCCGGGAGGCCTGACACCCCAACATCCTGGCAGCAGGACGTGGCATGCTTCTGATGGGGTCTGGGCCTATTGCTCAGTCTCCTTGGAGACTTTCTGAAGCTCTGAGATTGGAGTGGCCTTTTGAACAAGCCCTCTAGGACAATGATGACATCATCCTGTCCCCACCCCTCACCAAAGGCCAGCACCACCCTGTTCAGGAGCACGTGGCCAGTGTTAGGAGCCAAGGCCACACTTCCTCTTGGTCATTTCTTCTGGGAATTGTCTGTTCAACATCTTCCTGTTTCTTGGTGGCTTTTCCTTTTCTAAGTGATTTGCTAAAACTCTACCTACTGAGGAGATGAAAGCTTCCTCCTCCATGCAGCAAATTGCTTTCTTTTCTTTTCAGAACCTGTCTGCTTTAAGGTGTGATGTGTGGTGTGCTGGACAGCTGTGCATGTGGAGTGAGCACTGTGCATGGCACAGATGTGTTCTGTGTGGGATGTGTGAGATGTATGTACTGTGTGTTGTGTGGGATGCATGTGGTCCATGTGTTGCATGTGGTCTGTGTTGTGTGTGACATGTGTGATACATATTGCTGTGTGTTATGTGAGTTGCATGCTGCTGTGTGTTGTGTGGGATGCATGTGGTCTGTGTGGTCCGTGTTATGTGTGGTATCTGTATGTGTTGTGCACATGGCGTGTGTGTACTAGCCATGCCTGTCACAGACCTCCATACCACGTGGTCATGCGTCTGGACATGAGCTCAGCAGGGAGACCACTCACCTTGCCTTGTCTCTCTCTGGCCAGGTGACTACGCCCAGCTCAGTCTGCGCATCCTGTACCTGGAGGCAGGTGTGTACGATGTGCCCATAGTAGTCACAGACTCCGGGAATCCCCCGCTGTCCAACATGTCTGTCATTAAGGTCAAGGTGTGTCCATGTGACGAGAATGGTGACTGCACCACTGTGGGTGCCGTGGCAGCAGCTGGCCTGGGCACCGGAGCCATCGTGGCCATTCTGGTGTGCATTATCATCCTACTGAGTGAGTGCGGGGGCGGGCCCAGGCGGCAGGGGGCTGGGGCCCAGGGGTATGGGGCCCCCTGGGGTGGCAGGAGGCTGGTACCATGGGTTCAGGGCACCCTGGGGTAGAAAGGGGGCTGGGCTTGTGGGTACAGTGCCCCCTGAGGTAGAACGGGGCTTGAGTCATGGGTACAGGGCCCCCTGGAGTGGCAGGGGACTGGAGCCATGAGCACAAGGGATCCCCAGGGTGGAAAGGCACTGGGGCCATGGGTACAGGTTCCCCCCCAGAACAGCAGTGGGCTGAGACCATGGGTGTGAGGCCCCCCAAGGCGGCAATGGCCTGGGACCTTGAGCACAAGGCCCCCTGGGGCAGCAGGAAGGTAGGACCATGGGCACGAGGCATCCCCAGGGTGGAAAGGGGGTGGGACCATGGGTGCCAGGCCCCCCAGGGTGGAAGGAGGCTGGTGTCTTGGGCACAGATCCATAGATGGTGGATAGGTAGGTAGATAGATACGATTTTGTGGTGGTGGTGTGCCACCGAGTCGGTTCCAACTCATAACAACCCTGTATAGGGTTTCCAAGGCTGTAAACCTTTATGGGAACAGAAACCTTCATCTTTCTCCCACGGAGTGGATGACAGATTTGAACTGCTGACCTTGTGGTTAGCAATCCAACTCGTAATCCACTACGCTACATGATACATAATAGACAATAAATGGATGGACTATGGATAGTTGGCAGATAATAGATATGTGTTGTCAGTGCCATTGAGTTGGTTCCAACTCATAGCAACCCCATATCAGGTCTCCTAAGGAGCAGCTGATGAGTTTGAACCACTGACCTTGAGATACAAACAGACCTTTAGGCCCAGTGCTTCATCCCACAGTACCCCAACAGGACCCCAGATACTAAGTAGGTGTAGGATACATGGATAGATGGATAGATGGATAGATGAGGGCTAGATATAAATGATAAATAACAGATAAAGTCCACTGCTATGAAGTCAATTCTAACTCATGCTTACCCTCTATAAGGCTGCCAAAGCTGTAAATCAATTTGGGAGCAGATAGAGATGAATGTTGTTGTTGTTGTTGTCATGTGCCGTGGAGTTGGTTCCAACTCACAGCAACCCTGCACAGGGTTTCCGAGAATGTAAATCTTTACGGGAGCTGAAAGCCTCATCTTTCTCCCCTGGAACAGCTGGTAGTTTCGAACTGCTGACCCTGAGGTTAGCAGCCCGATTTGTAACCACTATGCTACCACAGCTCCGTAGATAGATGAATAGGGTATCTTAAATAGCATCCCAGTGCTGGACTGGGGTGGGTGAGGGAGTACAATTGGCCAGCCCAGCTCTGCCTTAGAAACTGCACAAGCGTGTCCACAGATAGGCAGGCCCATGCACCACAAACATGCACACATATTTGAGTGTACATTACACATATGTGTACTATACTCAGGAGAACACAGACACATGAGGCAAAAATGTGTTCCTTTCATGCATGCGTGTGCACATCTGTTCACAAGTGCATCTGTGCTTGTGTACACAGACACATGAGCTATGCACATACACACATACATACATGCATTACAGAGTCACACGTGTGACACGCATGCAGGCAGGCATACTGGCATGTACCCACCTACGCACACACGTGTACGGCTGTTCACGGACGTCCCCGCCCGCAGCCATGGTCCTGCTCTTCGTGGTGTGGATGAAGCGCCGGGAGAAGGAGCGTCACACGAAGCAGCTGCTCATCGACCCTGAGGACGATGTTCGCGACAACATCCTCAAGTACGACGAGGAAGGGGGCGGCGAGGAGGACCAGGTGAGACCCCGAATGCTTAACCATCACATTATATCTCCTTCCTGATGTGAACTCCAAGCATGGCTGCCCAGTCGGGCACTCAGGGAAGGTGGGCATGGGACACTTGTTCTAACCGTGGTTGCCCTGCCCATGGTCCCATCCTCGGACGCTGCCTGGTCTGGGCTCCTCCCCTTCAACCAGTCACAATGGGCCTCCTGAACATCGTCAGCCTGTCTCCTGGGGAGCGGGCGGAGGGGGTTGGGAGAGGACAGTGGCCCGTGGGAAACCTTCCCCTGCTCATGGGGCTGCCTTCTTCCCCAAGAGAGACTCAGAGATGCTTCTGTGGAGGAGGACGCCTCACCTCGCTCCGCCCCCTCGTTCCCCGTCGCCCTCTGTAATCGCCCCGCCCCTTCTGATCGCCCCTCCCCTGCCGCCCCCTCTGGTCACCTGCCCCCACCCTATCGCTCTCCCTCTGAATGCTTTATCTTTCAGGACTACGACCTCAGCCAGCTCCAGCAGCCGGAAGCCATGGAGCACGTGCTAAGCAAGGCTCCTGGGGTCCGGCGGGTGGATGAGAGGCCAGTGGGAGCGGAGCCTCAGTACCCAGCCAGGCCCGTGGTGCCCCATCCGGGGGACATCGGCGACTTCATCAATGAGGTGGGGGCCTGGGAGGCGCATTGGCTATATGGCAACCTGGGGCCCCGCCCGGGAAGCCTTCAATGGGAGTGGAGAGGGCAGCACCCCTCAGAGCTTTGTGAGCCCGAGAGAGGGGAGCCCACGTTGTGAACCACCCCTGAGCCACCCCTGAGTAAAATGCTGGAGGCTCTCACCTGAGAGAATGCAGGTGCTGACTCTACAGGCAGGCACTGGAGGGGCAAAAGTGTGCCACATTGCCGGACTGCTCAGGGGGATATTTAACAAACGCAGATTTGCGACTCCCGCCCACCTTACACCCACCTTCCCACAAGACTAGCAAGCGTGGAGAATCACTTGCCCCTAGTGAAGACAAAGCCCGGCCACAGGGCCCACCCAGCCCAGCCCAACCCACGGACGACGCCTACCCGAAACCACAGACCCCGCTCAGCCCAAGCCACAGGCCACAGACCCCAACCAGCCCAAGTTATGGGCCATGCTGAGCCCAAACCACAGACCTCGCCCAGCCCAAGCCACAGGCCACAGACCCCAACCAGCCCAAGTTATGGGCCATGCTGAGCCCAAACCACAGACCTCGCCCAGCCCAAGCCACAGGCCACAGACCCCAACCAGCCCAAGTTATGGGCCATGCTGAGCCCAAACCACAGACCTGGCCCAGCCCAAGCCACAGGCCACGCCCAGCCCTAGATGTGGGCCGCTCCCAGTGCAAGCTATGGGCCTTACCTAAGTCCAAACCACAGACCCTGCCCAGTCCTAGTCACCGGACACACCCAACCCTAGCTACAGGCTCACATCTCATTCGTATTTTCACGTGCACTACTGGCTCTGGTGCTCTGGTAGCGTAGTGGTTACGAATTGGGCAACTAACCTCAAGGTTAGCAGTTCGACCCTACCAGCTGTTCAGCAGGAGAATGATGAGGCTTTCTGCTCCCATAAAGATTTGCAGCCTTGGAAACCCTCTGCAGAGTCACAATGAGTCAGAACTGACTCCAAGGCTCTGGTGTGGGCTGTGTCCAGCGCTCTCCATTTTCCTCAGCTCCCTCCCCTTCTGCATTCTGCCCAATGCCTTTCCGTTGCACACAGGGAGCATCATCTTCCTAATCGCTGCCCCAGTCCATCTCCTTTCAAGTCTCAGACCCCCACCCTGACTCGCGTCTTTGTGAACCCAGGGCCTTCGCGCAGCCGACAACGACCCCACAGCGCCCCCCTACGACTCCCTCCTGGTCTTCGACTACGAGGGCAGCGGCTCGACCGCGGGCTCCGTCAGCTCCCTGAACTCGTCCAGCTCCGGGGACCAAGACTACGATTACCTGAACGACTGGGGGCCCAGATTCAAGAAGCTGGCGGACATGTACGGGGGCGGCGAGGAGGACTAGTGACCGAAGCGCGGGGCCACGCTGGGCGCCGGCAGCGGGCCTGGCCGAGGCAGGGGGTCCCCGCCGGACTGTGCGCTAGGGGTGTGTTAGGAGACCCCCGCCCGCCCCCACATGGAGCTGTCTTTAGCATGAACAGGCCGCGCCGCCCGCGTCACGTAGCCGACGGAAGGAGAGCGAGAGGCATTCTGTCTTAACTTGAATTTCTTAGATCAGAAGCACTGTTTTTAAAAATGAAAGTGCCTTTTGGTACATGTATCCGATCCCCTCAAACTCAGGAGTGACTAAAACAAGCAGGCAGACCAAGCTCCCACCACCCTGTGTCCCGGCCGAGTGGCACCCCAACCCTGAGTGACACCCCATCTGTGAACGGCACCCCATCCTGAGCATCATCCCAGCCCTGAGGGACACCCCGTTCATGAGTGTCACCCCAACCCTAAAGGACACCCCATCATGAAGGACACCCCAACCCTGAGGGACACCCCATCACGAGTGTCACCCCAGCCCTGAGCGGCAACCCAGATCAGAAGCATAAACTAAGCAAGGGGGAGCATGGTTAGGATTTTTTTCCCCAGTCTTTGACTCAGAAAACAGTGAGTGATTCATCTAACAAAATTCACCAAGAACTTGTTTCGGCTCCAACCCAGATGGCTCCTTTCCAGTCCTGGCCCTCCCTGCTTCCTAAAGGCCATCCTCCTTCCTGGGGGCTCCTAAGGGATCCAAGGAGGCTTAACTTTAGGTTCCAGCAATTAAGTGGGTGTGGCTGCCCCAGACACGGAGTGCTCAAATATTGAGGTGGGTGAGGTTCCATAGACTACCCCAGAAGTCCCCCATGTCTGGGGTCCTCCCAGTCTACCTGAGGCATCCTTTGAGGCTGACTGCTATCCCAGATACCACCCAACCCTACTGATCCAGGGAAGTACGGAGTCCCCAGCGTTGTAGCCCACTAGATCAACATCCTACCAACCCCTTCATAAACTTTACCCCCTCAGCCCCACAGCCGGCCTTGAACACACCTCTGCCCTCCAAGGGACTGGGCTCTCTGTCCAGGGAGAATGGACACGGGAATATACAAGCACAGAACCCCCAGCCCCCTGTGTTCCAGCCCCAACCACAGGCGTGTGTGATGTCTGACTGCTTTGAGGGTGAAAGTCCCTCACGGTGTATCTAGAAGTACTTCAGGCCACTGCCTGGTGACTCTGAGTGGTCACCCCACGGTCCCTGCTCCCGGGGTGGGGGGACCACAGGACAGTGGAAGATGCTGTGTGGACCCCAGTTGCCAAGTGTGAAGGCACCCTGTCCGTGTCTGCAGGGGGTGACTTCAGGGACCTATGGGCACGAGGGCATGATGAACAGGCTCCTCATGTAGGAGTCCACCAGCTGTCTCCGCAGCTTGCCCAGCCAGTGGGAGTAGGAACCCCAGGAAGAGCCTGGTCAGGAGCGGACATCGGCACCTTGGGAAGGGAGAGTTGATGCACAGGCCAATTCCTAAGGGGCCAGAACCACAACTGCTCTTTGGGGTCAAGAGGGTCCCCTCTGTGGGTCACCAGAGCTGGGGTCTATGGCTGCCTGGCCCCTTTACGGTCCTGACAGTTTGGGCTCAAAGCTATCCAGGGTTCTCCAAAGCTCCTCCCCTCACTCTAACAGAGCTGGTGGCCAGCAGCCAGGACGCGGACAGGGGGCGGATTGACCAGTGTCAGGTGCTGGGCCTGGGGGCTTCCTGGGTTCTGTGTTCCCACCGTGCCAATGGCTACTCCTCCAGGAGGCGGAGGAGAGAGGGCCTGGAGACCTGTCTTGGCTGTGCTATGCAAATTGCTCAGGGTCCTTGGAGCTGGGTGACCAGTGAGAACTATGTGAAGGACCGATGTGAGTCCCTGGGCTGTGGGCTGGGGCTGCCTGGTGTGAACTGAAACACTCGGTTTGCTTTGGTTTGCTTTTGCCAAGTCAGCCTTCAGTGAAGTTTTGAACTTGACTGGAAGCAGAGACTTCAGAACCCCACACATTTTGGGTCCTCGGGACTGTCTTGTGAAGAATATTCTAGACTCACTCAGGCCTCAACATCAGAACAGCCCCCAACCCTCAGGGGGCCAGGACACCCTGCTGCCCTGGAGGCCACTTACCCCAGATGTGATGTGGCTATTTCCCTCTGCATCCATATCTCAGTCGGGGACTGGGCAGCAGCTGGAGGACCATTGAGGGCCCTTCTCATGTCTACCCCTGCCTTCCAGAAAGCTGGTCGGCACCCTGTCCCCTCCCCACCCAGGACAGCACCTGGGGCCAGAGGAGGTGAAATCCCACCCCTACCTAGGCCATCTTGGGGCTCATGGAAGCCAACAACTTAGCATTAGCCGACCGTACAATCAGTGTTAATGGGCCCCCTTCCATAGCCTGTAGACTCCATGTGTAGGTGGTCAGCGGCCCAGCCAGAGGAGGCAGAGTGAGCAGTGGGGTTTCTTAAAGGATGTTTGCTCCGCAGCCCAGAGAAACGCTGCAGGGTGGCATAGTGAATCTGTGGGGCCCCAGGTACCCAACACCTAACCCACAGCACATCTAAATAGCTGGGCCTCCTGCCCCCGGGGCAGCTGGACAGCAGCTGAGGACCGGGCTCAAAGGCATGCCTCAGTTTCCCTAGCGTGCACACCCATCCCACAAACGCAGTCCCTCCAAACGACAACTCTGTTTCCCCCGAGGTAACAAGCTGGGGCGGGAGGGGGGTGGGTGCCGGAGGGGGTCTCAAGTTCTAACAAAGCTCAAAGGAATAACACCAAAACCAGGACCAAGTCTCCCTGGCTCTGTGCCCAGTGGATGGACGTGGTGTAAATAGACCGGGGCCTGCGGGCGCCGCCCACCGGGAGCCCTCTGTGTATAAGCGGAACGCCTTTCACTCGTCCTTTCTCCCCCTCCATCGGCTTTTCTGTTTGCATGATTCTTTTTGAACGGACAGATGTGTAGCAGTCCGCATGACCGTGGCTGTTTCGGGGAAGAGACCGGAGTGTGATGTGTCCACGCTGCAGCCGTGAGCGTCGCTGGAGCCGTTAGACAGACGTTCCGACTTTTTTTGTAATCGTCAACAGCACAACTATTTTGTATTGTCGTTTGTATCATTTTGTACCAAAAACAAAAACGAAAAAAAAAAAAAAAAAAAGGGAAGAGAGTCGATGTTTTTTGGTGTGTCTCTAGCGGCACTCAGTCTTGGTTCCAGATGAGTTGTCGTGTGTGCCGGGCGGGGCGTTGGTGCACTGCTCCGAGGAATAAATAAAATCCCCTTTTAAATAGTCGGCCTCCACCTGCCTGATTTTTCTGTGGTGAATTCAGGAAGCCATTGGTGTGGACATGGATTAGATGGTGTCCATGATGGCTAGGAGAATCGGGCCTGGGATAGAGGTCGAGAGTTGAGTTTCTGGATGCGTTTGGCTGTGCCAAACCTAACACCAACCCCTCTGCACAGAGCGGGAGAAAATGTGCTACACTTATGGGCAGAACCCAGGTCCAGGATTCCAGCTTTCTTTACCTGAAACACGGTTCTGCAATTGGCTGCCACCTGCCACTCTGTTGAAGGGAGAACCTGAGTTGCCGTACATCCACACAGCCTCCCAGGGCAGCCTGGGGTTCTGTGAGAATCTTGCGACAATGTCTTTTGTGTCATGGGTGAGAGATGACCTGGGTCTCCGAAGCGGTCTCATGTGGACCCAGACATCAGAACAAGCCAGGAAAACCTGTGAAGGGCAGAGGGGGGTCTGTCCTGGAAGGTCTTGAGGCTCAACAGGCCTTGTCTATACTGTATGCTGGCTGTGAGGGCACTATGCCCAGCATTCTCTCCAACACAGCTGTCCAAGACCTGCCTATCTGCACTAGAGGGGTAGGGCAGAAGTTGGTCCCCTCTACTGATCAGGGGGAGGAGTGAGTGTTGGTTTCCTGGCACATGGCAGAGACAGATAGCGCCTATACACAGGGACACTGCCTTGGTGATTCCCTGCACCTCAGGGAGCATCGACATGCCACCTTAGACCCTCAGTGCCAGCGGCAAACTGAGCAGGCTCATTCCCATGTGACTTAGTGTTCCACAGGGGAAGGGGTGTCAAGGCAGTTGTGTGAGCACACACAGCATTGGAACGCTGATTCCAGGTAAGCCTGGTGCACTGGGACCTTGAGTGGGAGCTGAAGTCCACAATAGAGGTCAGCCTGGTGACCTCAGGCATGGAGTCAGGGTGGTTCTCTAGACTCACTTCAGTTAGTCATTGTGGTAGCGTGGACAGACATTACCTTTTGGGCTAAAGGGCTCCACAGACAGGTGAGTGGGGCCTGGTGGGACAGGGTGAGCCTCCAGGATCTGCATAGCTGCTCCCAGTGCACTGGCCTGCTGGATGGTTGATGGGCCTCTGAGCTGTTTAGAGATCTCACATGTCAGGAGTGAGCCTCTCTAAACATTCCCGAGAAGTCTGGATATGGACGAGTGTTTTCACTTCTCATGGGCGATACCTCCACGTGGAAAGCCGGGGCACATGCTGGGGGTGAGCTTAACTTCCAAAAAAATCCCAACTACCTTAGACTGTCCACCACTTATCTGTCAGTGTGTCATATTGTAGAGGCTTGTGTGTTGCTGTGATGTTGAAAGCTATGCCACTGGTATTTTAAATCCCAGCAGACTCATCCAGGGTGGACTGGTGTTAGCAGAGCTTCCAGACAGACTATGTAGAAGGCAAGACAGACTATGTCTAAATGCTTACCCACTAAACACCTTATATACACCAATGGAACACTGTCAGATGGGCCAGAATATTGACTATGGAAACATTATAAATAGCACCAGAACATTGTCAGATAAAGTGCTGGAAGATGAAAACCTCAGGTTGGAAGGAATTCGAATTACGACTGGGGAAGTGCTGCCTCTTCAAAGTAGAGTTGACCATGATGACAGGAATGGAGTAAATTTCAGAATCTTCATTTGCTGATGGGGCACAACTCAAAATTAGGAGAAATAGCTGAAAATATCCATTAATAAT